AATAATATAAAGGAAACGATTTATACATACATAAATGAGATAAGAAAAATAAACAGATATGTTTTTATATCCAGTTCTATATTCGGTATACATAAACAGAAAAATACCGGCGAAATTGTGAGACATGTGTATTAAGTGTTGTCAGAATCCCATGCATATATAGGCACATATCACATAAACAATATTATGAATATTGGTAGCGTAAATTTCTTAAGAGTTAGAATTAATGTTACAAGCTAAAATATACATACAAATATCTCAGAATTGTATGTAGGAATTATTTATTAGCTATATATATACATATATGTACATATATGTTCAAATGGACCGGCGTCATATGGAAATATTAATTCTACAGCACCATTGATGGGAAATATTACAGTCTTAGCGTAAACAGAGTACGATCATTAATACATAGGGAAGCGCAATATCTTGCATGTATTCTTGAAAATAGTATATGTTTGATCTGAGCCAGGAGCAACTGTTATGCAGTCGGTTGCGATTGTAACGTATTTATATCATGTATAATTTTCTTAATATATAAATTCGTAATATTACTAGTCGTTTCCTTACAGTTGTTTTTATAACCTTATTATCTTATTTGTTTTATATTTGAATATGAAATATATTTAGAAACTTTTGAAGTTATGATAAATATTATAAAAAAATATAAGTTGAATAATTGTGTTGAATAAATTAGCTGATTGTTTTTATCAAATTAAATCTGAGATATTATATATGAGTATAACCATTAATGTTAGCCTACTAAACTGTTGATGTTGCCCAATGACGCAAAGTTCATACCACGCTAAATTCAAATGGAAATTTCATGACAATACAACATTATTGCAGGAGAGCAAATATGAAGTAACTATGAAAAATACATACATATGTACATACAGATTATATATATAATAATTCCTAGAGCACTGAAACCCTCGTTTCTCACATTTATATATGTATGTGTACATACACCTCATGTTTTGGTATCTCTATTACAAATGCGTATTGCGTATTCGCCTGGCTCCAGCTCGTCTCGGCTCCACTCAGGCGAGACAGCATAATGATGTAGTATTTGTGCCGCTATCCTTTGTGGTAGCACACACCCAGGATAATATTCAGTTGGCCGCCAGCTGGGCACCAATTTGACATTTTTATGCATAAGCGCCCAGAAAACAACAAGCTCGCGTGCCCAAGGGTAGCATTTACTGTATTTCATTTCCAGTTTTATATCACCCACTTTATTTTTTTGCCACAGAGTGCGTAATTCATAGAAACCACCACATACAACCTCATAAAGTAAATAGATATGTAAATAGCTTATCAGGATCAAAAGCCATCAAGGCATGTCCTGTTACTTTTTAATAAATAAATTAAACTTATAATTTGTCTTTGTAAAAATACATAATGATCGATAAATAGGGGAACAATTATTAATTATTTCATTACTCTCCATTACAACCTATATCTTATAAATGATCGAAATTCAATTTACTTTTCCTTAGTATATAACAATAGTAACAAGAAAGAAAGGACTGCGCTTGGGTTGCGCTGCAGTGTTGGCAATATAATGAGACCTTATTTGTTGAATAATTTAATTTCTAGACGTACGATC